CAAATCTCTATGGTGTTATAAAGCTGGATTCAGGCAAGAGCATGCTTAGAAAATCCATGTCAGAGTGAGATGGGGTAGGGATACAGAGATACAAAAATGATTTCTCTGATGGTGAGGAAAGCTTCCAAAGGTATCACTAACACTTGCTCCAAGCTTTGGAAGGTAGGCAGGAAGTTGTCAGACAGCCAGGAAGTTGAGCAGGTGGAAAGAATCAGACGGTGGGACTTCCTGCAGAGCTGAGGTCTAAGGGCCTGGGAAGACTGTCAGGGTAAGGCCAAGAAGTAAGCAGAAGCCAGGTGCTATGGCACACACCTTTAGTTCCTGCACTCGGGAGACAGAGGCAGGTGGATCTCAAGGCCAGCCTGGTCTATATAGAGTGTTCCAGGACAACCAGGGCTACACAAAGAAACCCTGTCTTGAAGAAAAAAAAAACACAGAGAAAGAAAGGAAAAAGGAAGGGGGAAGGAAGAAGGAAGGAAGGAAGACAGAAAGGAAAAAGGAAAGAAAGAAGTAAGCAAAGGCTAACTCCTGGAGGACCTTGAATGCCATGCCAAAGGCTTTCAGTTTATCCTAAAAATAATGGAGGACCTTGGCCAATTTTAGTCACAAGAACTATGTCTTGTCTCGTGAGCAATCAAGTACCTGAGAAAGGCGTTGATAAATCCATTCATTCTGAAGCATAAGTGGCTGGCATAAAATAAAAGTGCTTGTAGGTTAGGAAATCTAGCTCTAGGGGGAGCTGAGAGTGTGAAACCAAAGATAGGCCTGGTATTTGCTGGAATGAACATCACGGTCCTTAGGGCTGACCTTTGCTTTAGGGAAAGAATCAGCTCACTTCTCAGAGAAGAAAGGTGGTAGACAGCCAGGTTCTGTCTTTCTCGATTCAGGCTCTTTAGAATGCCAAATCCCAGTGCATGGCCGGCACTGTTCTGGAGAAAGTGCACCCTCTAGAGGAAACAGGATGTATGTTTTTCGGTAGGACAGCTACAAACTATTTCCAGAACCTTGGCTGGCTTCCTTCCCCTAGAGGCCTGGCCAGCTTGGGGGTGGAGTGTGCTGATTGTTTATCTGTTTCTGAGTTTGGCCACCCCTGAGAACAAAGTAGCTTGGCTGTAGGAGGTGGCATAACAGCTGGGAAATTTGGGTCACAGCTGGAGGTGGCAGTCACAGAATGCTGGTGACCTAGACACAACAGTCGGAGGCGGCAAACACAACAGCCAGAGGCAACAACAACAACAAAAGCTAGCGGGTAGCCAAAATCTCTAGGGTTCATAAGTCTGCAGCCTTAAAACCAGGCTTTCAAAGCCACAGGTTCTATCTTCTCTGAGTCAGCATAACTCCTCAGTACAGGGTACCAGGTGTTTTGGATCAGGAACCAGAAGACCTGGGTTTGGCTTCCCATTTTACCACTAATTTGCTTGAAGTGGTTTTCTCTGAGCCTTAGTTTCTAATGATGTCTTTCCTATCTACCTCATAGGGTGGGGGATCAAATTATATATTTTATAAAGTAGCAAATAATATAGGTTATTGTTTGGAGAATGATAAGCTAGGTTTTTGAGAGCCTCCAACCTTCCTGATAGGTAGCATCTTCTTGGAACACAAAGTGAGGGGTTAGATGAATGACCCCTGATTGTCACCACAGAAAGTTCAGGGAAAGAGGTGGGGAAGAGATGGAGGGAGCATGCTTGATGATCCCTATAGCTGTGGCTGGAAGTTTAAATAGATATCCAGTCAGAGCTCTCATCTCCTCTGTAGGATCTCTGGAAACACTGTATAACTTCATCCTTGAACATCCAGGGACAGCTTGTTCTCTACCTTGCTTCACATCTGGACAATCCTGTTTATAGTGTTTTGTTTTGTTTTGTCAATGGAACTGGAGTCTTCCTCCCTATAGTTTGAACTCACTGGTCCTGCTTGTTCTTGGAGCTGGAAAATTAATCTGAACCTTCATTCATGTGACAGTCCCTCAAGCCAAGTATCTTGTACACATCGGTTCTTTCTTTCAGATCATCTTTTCTTTTGACAAAATCCGCCTGTTCTGTTAACTGTTTCCCATGTGATCATGGGATCTGCCCCTAATTTTTTTCAACTTTTGATTGCTGCCTGAGATGGAATACTGAAGATGCAAAATGAACCAAGCAGAGTGGGATCAATTACCTCCTTGTTCTAGAGACTCAGTTCAACCACGATAGCTTAAGATTGTATTGCTTTTTGGCAATAATAACTCATGCTGGATTTTTTTTTTTTTTTACTAAAATGTTTAAATCTCTCTTTTTCCCTATGGTAACATGACTAAATTACATCTTCAAAATCTTTAACTTTCCCAGATAATTTCTAGGTCCCAGTGTATAACCCAATGTTTATCCTTTTTATTAGATTTGGCTCATTCATCTGGTTCTTTTTAGAGCCCATTTCTGCCCAGTGCTTGTAAACTGTCGCAGGTTTGTGTCATCCACACAACTGATGGCCACAATATTCTCTAGTTTTGAATGGAATTAGTGTTCAGAGCGTTGACTAGGGCAAGATCAAGGATCAATCTCTTCCCTGCATCAATAGGAAATGAATTCTAGGTTATTGGGCTCTAATTATGTGTACTACTGAATTTTTAAAACCACCTAATTACATGACCTTTATGGTCATTTTTAAAGGTATAATGATAGATTTTATCAAAACAACAACAACAAAAACTTCTGAAGCTTTACTTACACATCATCTGTATTTTGTTGACTTGTCAATTTAGTAACCTCATCATAGCAGGAAATGAAGTTATTTTGATGTGACTTGTTCTCTGTAAACGCACAGTGAGTCTTACTGACAACTTCCTACTCTCTTGTTCTGTCTACTTACACACAATCCTTGTATTTTATTGGAGATTCTGTCCTAGGATCAGCATAACCCATTTGTCTATAGCTTATGAAATATATTCCATTTTTATTTTTCAAAATTAAAGCTATTTTCTCTCATATCTAACTATGCCATCCCTTTGTTGCTCCAACAGTCCTCAAAATCTCATGTATAGGTTTCACATCTTTAAGAGTTTGAGGATTGAGCAGGGCAGAGGTGGTGCACACCTTTAATCCCAGTGCTTGAAAGGTAGAGGCAGGTGGATCTCAGAGTTCAAGGCCAGCCTGGTGTACAGAGTGAGTTCCATCTAGGACAGCCAGGACCGGTACACAGAGAAGCCCTGACTTGAAAAACCAACCAACTAACCAACCAACAAACAGAGTTTGAACATTCTTATATGCAGACTCTACAATGGTATTTATTATGTATATGTATGTATATAGATTGTGGTAGGTGGTTGTTATTATTAGCATTTCTGAGTATTGAGCAAGGCTTTATTTAAGTTACAAAATAGGAATTATTCAGAGCTATAGCACTTCCATTTTGCTTGAAAGGAACCAAGGCCATTGGGTGGGTGGTGAAGAGCACTGGTGTCTGGCTGAGTAGCAGTCTCTTGTGGATGAGAGTTTCAAACAGTCTCCAGGTTGGTAAAATGGGCAGGCTGCTGCTTCTGACTGTTCTCAGGACCCTTATCCATTGGCGATCTCCAATATCAGTGGATAGGAGTACATGGACAGGACTGTAAAACTTAGACTCTTGCAGAGGCAAAGCAATGGGGGAAGTGGGGGAGCATGACAAAGAACAACCATGAAATGCAATGGCTCAGACATATGGGGTAGGGAATGCAATGGCGGCTCTGATCTCCAAAGAGCCCCAAATCCCAGAAATCATCTTCATCCTTCTCAGGGGTTCAGATGTCAGACTCAGAGTCTCAGTGATTCAGATCTTCTCTACTGGAAAAGTACAAACTTGCTTTTTTGGGCAGAGATGCCAGACGCCTTGTATTAAGTGAATTATCTCCTTTTTCAATGCCTTGTTCCACTTTCTACTATCAGGATGAATGGCAGCCTTGAATTTGAGCTCATGCACACATAGTTACTAGTTAATATGGCGTCCACCCTCACTTCACTCAGTTTTGCTGCCTACAATATGGCATCTCTGCCAACCCGTGGGGGGATGTCTTGGTGCTGGCAGGAAGCTTCAGCCTGTTGCTTCCTTGCTGCTTATTGCTCTTGCTCAGATCTTGTCAGTGCTCTTCCTAACAGCAATCTAGACCCTAACCCAGACTTAACTTCCCCTAGGTAGTACAAACAAATGATGATAATGGTGGCAAATGAAGGAGATCGGATGCTTGACCGGTAGAAGAATGGACACCTTCTGCGTTTTCTCACCAGTGGGCTTTAACTCAGGGCTAAGGGAGAGAATAGTGAAAGTAAAGGTATATATGCATCTTAAGCAGGACTGTCCTAAAAGGAGTTCAGGGGAATAGGTTTTTGTTGTTGTTGTTGTTGTTTTTTTTTTTTTTTTTTTTTTTGCCTTGATATTCATCAGAGAAGTGAGGTTTTATTTTAACTTAGGTATCTCCACAGGAGTGGCTCTGTTGCACACACACTTGTGTGTGTGTGTGTGTGTGTGTGTGTGTGTGTGTGTTCAATGGAGATCAGAAGAGCTCTCATTCCTATTTTCAGGGACCTGTGCACTTCCTACTCATTCACCTCTTCCCCAAATCAGAGCATCATTACACTGTTATGTATTTAATTCATGTCCTCACTAAACTGTGACTTCTTAGCAAGAATTACATCACTTTCATCTCTGACCTATCAGCACCCCACACTGTGGCTGACATTTAAAAAGTGCTCTATGAATATTTGCTAGGGTAAATAGCATCAAAATGAAGGGCAGGGGCTGACAAGATGACCCTGACTCAGCAGGTAAAGGCATTTTCTGCCAAGCTTGACCTGTGCCCACATGGTGGGAGAAAACAAAATCCTGCCAATCGTCCTTGGGCTGTGACACTTAAGCACCCCCCCCACACACACCATAAATAAATATAAGAGATTTTAAAAGGAAATCTTAGTGTCTCTTCCCACTGGGTGTTGCTAGGAGTTGGCTGGGTTTGGACAGTAACCCCCTTTATGCTGTCTTGCTCCTTGCAGATGACATCGGTTGCTAAGGTCTATTACAGTCAGACAACCCAGACAGAAAGCAGGCCCCTAGTGGCCCCAGGAATACGACGGAGGAGGGTCCTAACAAAAGATGGCCGGAGCAACGTGAGGATGGAGCACATTGCTGACAAGCGTTTCCTCTACCTCAAGGACCTATGGACGACCTTCATTGACATGCAATGGCGCTACAAGCTTCTGCTCTTTTCCGCAACCTTTGCAGGCACCTGGTTCCTCTTTGGTGTGGTGTGGTATCTGGTAGCTGTGGCCCATGGGGACCTGTTGGAGCTGGGACCCCCTGCCAACCACACCCCCTGTGTCGTTCAGGTGCACACACTCACTGGAGCCTTCCTCTTCTCCCTCGAATCCCAGACCACCATTGGCTATGGCTTCCGTTATATCAGCGAGGAGTGCCCTCTGGCCATTGTGCTCCTTATTGCACAGTTGGTGCTCACCACCATCCTCGAGATCTTCATCACAGGTACTTTCCTGGCAAAGATTGCCCGGCCCAAGAAGAGGGCTGAGACTATCCGTTTCAGCCAACATGCAGTTGTAGCCTCCCACAACGGGAAGCCTTGCCTTATGATTCGAGTTGCCAATATGCGTAAGAGTCTCCTCATTGGATGCCAGGTGACAGGCAAACTGCTTCAGACCCACCAGACAAAGGAGGGTGAGAATATTCGGCTCAACCAGGTCAATGTGACTTTTCAAGTAGACACGGCCTCTGATAGCCCCTTTCTTATTCTACCCCTGACCTTCTACCACGTGGTAGATGAGACAAGTCCCTTGAGAGATCTCCCCCTCCGCAGTGGGGAGGGGGACTTCGAACTGGTGCTGATCCTGAGTGGGACAGTGGAGTCCACCAGCGCCACCTGTCAAGTTCGCACTTCCTACCTACCGGAGGAGATCCTCTGGGGCTATGAGTTCACACCTGCTATCTCACTGTCAGCCAGTGGCAAATACATAGCCGACTTCAGCCTTTTTGATCAAGTTGTGAAGGTGGCTCCCCCTGGTGGTCTCCGTGATAGCACGGTACGCTACGGAGACCCAGAAAAGCTCAAATTGGAAGAATCATTACGAGAACAAGCTGAAAAGGAAGGCAGTGCCCTTAGTGTTCGCATCAGCAATGTCTGACTTCCTGTCTTCTCCTCCCCAGCCCTTTGGCCTTCTCCCCTTTCAGTGCCTTGGGAAAAGGAGACTATCTGGGTTCTCTGGAGAAGCCCAGAAGCACTCATCCTCTGCTTCCCCTTCCTTAAGTGGATGGCCTGTCAGTAATCCAGGCCACCTGGAGTCCCATGTTTTCCTCTCACTGTCCCCTTGCACCTTCCTTCACTACTATGCCAATGTACTCCACTCTTAAGCCAGGATGGGGGAAGGAGAAGGAAGATTAGGCTGAAAAGGCTTGGAAGGCCTCAGCCATGCTTGAAGATTCACATTAGGAGGACCATGTGATGGGATGAATAGACCCCCCCCCCCCCCCCCCCCGACTACCCTCTGCTAGAAAGTGTCATGACTTGAGACTGGAGCTGCCTCCATCTCTGTTTCTGTCTAGTAATCCCGAGAGTCACCCTATGGACTATGCTCTCAGAAATAAGGAATCAGAAATCAGTTTTCCCTGGGCTCTCTACCAAATCCTCAAGAAAGAAGCCAGGGTTTGTCATGGTGTATTTAATCTCAGCTGGTAACTCCTGACATAACACAGACTTTTGATCACTACCTTATTTTCCAGTTCCTGTTCTCAAGTGGATCTCCTCAGGATTCCCAGTTCTTTCTCAGCCTCTGTTCCCATAGAATTGGGGCTGACCTGAGAAACAGGAACAGCCAGCCATGACCCCTCCTGCACCCATCCTGGGTTCTGAGAAATTCAATTTTGGAACTAGTCTCTAATAGTCTGGCCCTATCCTGGAAATATTTCTTTTACTGTGTCCTGTGAATGGGAAACTTAGCCAATGTTCTCTCTCTCTAAAAACATTTTCTTTTGAGACAGCTCTGACTGTCCTGGCACTCACTCTGTAGACTTGGCTGGTCTGAAACTCACAGAGATCCACCTGCCTCTGCCTCTGAGTGCTGGGATTAAAGGTGATCCACTATGTCCTGTTGCCAATGCTAAGTCCAGTGCTCAGGCCCCATGAAAATATCTCAAACCACCCCAGATTACACTGTACCTGACTTCTATTCTTCCTCTTTTACCCATCCTAGATCCCCTCATCCCTTGACCCAAGCTTTTGAAGAAACACAGTCATGTCCCTTTCTTAGCATCAATCAATTAGAACTAGTCACAGGGCACAGATTCCCTAGGAAAGTTGAACCAACTGCTCAGATTCCCAGATTGTTATCAGAGCCTCTGGGAATTTGTGATGTTTTGTTAGGGTTTGGACTGAAGCAGAACTCAGGCTGACAGCCACTGTTTTGTTACATCTCCTGGTGCCCTGCCCTTCTGAAAAGTGCCAGCTGTTTTATGAGACAATGGGAGAGGGGAGGAACTTACGTTCTGATCTCAGCCATTATAACATGGCATAAAATGATGAAAGTCAGTGTCATCTCTACTCTCTTTGGTCAACGGGCCAGTCTCAGGCAAGTAAAAAAGCAACTTAGGATCAGACCCAGGCCATTCCTACTTCTCTGGTGAGTAGAGTGGCTGGGGTCAGGGAAGGGCATTATAAGCACCAGGTCCAGTTCTAAAGCCCAAAGCACAAGTGAGTTCTGGTTCCACTTAGGTACCCAGGAAACCCCATAAGATGGTTTAGCAGGAACTCCAGCAGTGATGACACAATTGTTGATTTAAGGTGGACTTGACAAATGATGAAAAATTACACGTTTATACAGAATGTATACACACATCTCTCTGCAAAGTATTGCAGATAAACCAGAAGATCCTGAGCCTGTCTCAGCTATGTATGGTCTTTCCTCGAACTCAATTAACTGGTCTTGAAAACAAAGAGCCTCCAACCCCTCCTTACTGTAAAACTCACTATTGTCCTTAAACTCGCATCAAAACAGGAACCAGAAGAACCTGAACTTCTGAAACAGAGCCCCAGGCAAAGAGCCAGTACCTGTGCTTTCAAATATACTCAATGCTGTGCTTACCCGGTGACGTTTGGTGTGCAAGGACCAAGTGTACTGCCATGTGTGTATCTTCTTATCCACTGGCAATTGTTTCCCTGTCTGGTTTCTTCTGCACATTGCTGCTTCCCTTCCTAGTCCCTTGCTTAAGGCCTAAATCTCCTCAGATTATTGGATAACGATGTGAGAAGAGAACATTTTCTGCCTTAATGCTTCTTGAACTTCCTCTACAATCCCAGGCTTTCCTCTAAGTTGCACTTTAAAACCATTCCATCCTATTAATTCAGAATGGCACCCTTCTCCCAGAAGCCCGATGTTCTGCATGGAACAACTCCCACTCCCAATCCTAAGTGGTTCTTCAGATCACAGCCTGGCTAGCCTGACCTGGCATCCCTTTTCAGGATATAGGGAAAGCTTTACTAGCAGCCAGGCCTGATGAGAAATGGGTTCCATGTTTGTACCTGCTATAGGTTTGTAACATCATGAGAGTAACAGGTGAAGATTTTAAGTGGGGTGGGAGATTTCAGGTAGGCAAAACAACCAATGGGGTAGATATCTAGGGTGTGAAAATGAGAAAGATGAGGCTAAGGGATTTAATGGAAAGAAACCCTGAGTCTTACTTATGTTTGACACAGAAAAGGTAGGTGAAAACCTGGGAAATTGGGATATGATATATATGTTTATCTAAGGAAAAAAACAGAGATAATATATAGACAGATATGTATATAGATGTACATATGCCAAATATATGGATTATACAGAAAGGAAGTACTCAGACTTTAGCAAAGGGACAAATATTTTGCCTTGGTTTTATGGAGTAGGATACCCAGATTTTCTGTGTTATGTTCAGCAGAATGGTGAGAGTAGCTGATGGTTTTAAGTTTGATTGATGGCAAAGGGAGGGCTCGACCCTGTCCCTTTCATAATGAACCTGTGCTGATAGGACAAGAGAGCATCTAGAAGAAATGGGGCAAGGAAATGTCCTATCCACGGAGATCTAGGAAAATCTAGCATTCATACTATGTTCTACCTATCCCTGGCAGCAACCTGTCATTGAACAACTTCTAAAACAAACAAGCAAGCAAACAAATAAATCTTCCTTTTCCTCTCCCGAAGGACACTCTGCATTTCCCATTCTTTCACCAGGCCCCACTGAAAACTGAAAAGCTGAAAAATTGGTATTTGGGAGGCATTAAGTGGAAACCATACTGCTAGAATACAAATGCCAGGACTGATGAGCTGTTGAGCTTAAGATACTCCCAAGACAGGCCTGAGCCTATGTATAAAAATCCTAAAGAGGGTGCTGTATATATCATTGTCCCAGTCCTGGCAGGGAGGCAGATGGATGCTTTGGCTTGGAGGCTCTTCTACGAAGAATTCTGTTTTCATCTTTCCAAGAGGATGATACAATTTTATGGGAGGCTTCTGAAACCCCTAAGTTGTTTCACTTAATTCCTGCGACTCCTTACTGCCCCACCCACTTCCTGAAACCCACTTCAGCTAGTAAAACTATGCAAGGGTTTCCCTGAGGTCAGCAGAGAAAGAAAAGCAGTCATAATGTAGCTACTGAACAGGGACATTGCACTTTCTCCATGGCTGCTACCATGAACCTTTACCCCTGCTAGTTAACTTAGTTTCTTTGCAAAATAACACATTACCTATACTGTACAATTAGCTGGCCAATGCTACTGAAGTAGAAGTATGTAAGGATGAGTTTTCTACGAACTGCATTAAAGACTAAACCAGGTCAAATGTATTTAGAAAAAAAAATGTGTGAGGTATTTTTGGTTTATTTTTGTCTGTTCAGAAGAAACTACTAAATAAATGGATGAATCTCTTGTTCTCACTGTATCTTCTTTTAGAAACGGAAAGCTATCTTTTTTTTTTTTTTTTTTTTTTAAATCAAGATTTGAACTCATAGGCTGACTCATAGGGAGAGGAGGGCTCAATTGGCTCTGCTGGAAGAACGTCTGATCATGAGGCCAGCCTTTCTTGCTGGCCTCCCCTTACACTCACACATTTCATTAATAGTATTCCTCCAATCCTTTTCTTGCTCTTTCCCTTATTAATGTCCTTTTAAGAATAATTTTCAAGATCGGGTTTTAAATGAAAAGAAAAACCTTTTATTTGTTTATGTGTGTGTGTATAGGTGTACAAGGGCATGTGGACATCAGAGAACATCTTTCTGGAGTCAGCTCTCTCCTACCATATGGGGAATCAAATTCAGATTGTCAGGCTTGGCAGCAAGCACCTTTACCCACTGAGCCAGCTCTATGGCTTGCAAATCCAGTTCTCCTTTTTTTTTTTTTAAAGTATTTTATTTTATGTGTATGGACATTTTGTATGTATGTATGTGCGCACCATGTGTATGCCCGGTGCCATGAATCCTTTAGAACCAGGATTACAGACAATACAATTGTGAGTTGCTATGTGGATGCCAGGAATTGAACCAGGGTCCTCTTGAGAAGCACTCAGTGCTCCTATCACTGAGCCATTTCTCCAGCCTGAAAATCCAGTTCTTAAAGGGCAAGACTTAAATACTAAGACTCGGGAATCTGAAAACTGGCTTTACTAATTTCAGGGGTCAAATTGGTCTGGATCTGGGACACTCTCCCTTTTAGATGGTGATGTTTGAGTCCATTTTTCTTTTTCTTTTACACTAGGAAATACTTTTTGGATGCTTTTCCTTATACATCCTCAAAGGTCTGGAAGTCCATTTTAAGTAGGAGGCATTTCAATCCCCAAGTCTCAAAATAATGGATTTTCCATCTATTTTTACCTAGCATGAGCCTGAGAAAGTTGTGGTCAATTTCCAACCCCAAATATTCTGGCAAGGAATCAACAGGTTATACTCACTGATTCTTGGTCCTTAAGATGGAAAGACAAAGGGGAGAGGGAAATTGGTTCCTTCATCATTAATAAATGGACAAGTAAGTCATAAAACATACTAAATGTCACTTGGGAGGCAGAGGCAGGAGGATCTCTGTGAGTTCGAGGCCAGCCTGGTCTACAGAGGGAGTGCCAGGATAGGCTCCAAAGCTACACAGAGAAACCCTATCTCGAAAAACAAAAACAAAACAAAACAAAAAAGACATATTAAATGTACAAGATGTATGAAATAACCATATCCCAAATCTGTAGTCTTACATACTTGTGAGAAATAAATGGTACCTAACAAATATAACCAAGGGTGAAGCATTCAGCATACACTAATACAAAACAGATAATTAACATATCCTAAAATGTAAAATCTGTGGAAAACACTTCACAGGGGTGGACACGAAAGGCAGGGAGTGATATCTGCCCAAGAGGTCTGCTATTTTCTGTATCTCACTCATTTGACTCCAGGGACAAGCTGTTTCTTTGATTAGTTGTTTCTTAATCTTCCTGAATACAGTGTCTCTCCTATTTACTAGGCCAGCCATAGCTGAGGCTTTTATGTCAAAATACCTAAAACAATCTACCAAGAAAAATGCTTACTTAATCTTCAGGCATCTCTCTCATATTCTCTACTGAGACTAAACCTCACTTACCTATAACTCACAAAGAAAAATAACAAGCCAGGGATATAAAAAGTGACAATGAGAGTGTATATCAGGAAGATTTCAAGATGAGATTAAGAAGACAAAACAGAGAAACCAGAATTCCAAATCAGCATTTTATTTGCAAGTTCATCACACAACAATTAAGGTATGTTGGGTTTCAACTAACAATCTAAGCAATACTGGAGAGGCTACCTTAAATGCCCTTCTCCAATAATGAGATTAATGGCTACCTTATATGCCATCCTAGAGCCTTCATCCAGTAGCTGATAGAAGCAGAAGCAGACACCACAGCTAAACACTGAGCAGAGCTCCTGGAATCCAGTTGCAGAGAGGGAGGAGTGATGAGCAAAGGGGTCAAGACCAGGCTGGAGAAACCCATAGAATCAGCTGACCTGAACAAGGGGGAACTCATGCACCCCAGTCTGATAGCTGGGAAACCAGCATGGGACTGACCCAGAACCCCTGAACGTGAGTGTTGGTTAGGAGGACTGGGTAGTCTATGAGGCCTCTGGTAGTGGATCAGTCTTTATCTCTAGTATAAGAATGGACTTTGGGAGCCCATACTACATAAAGGGATACTCCCTCAGCCTAGACACATGGGGGAGGGCCTAGATCCTGCTCCAAATGATGACAGACTTTGAAAGATTTCCTCATGGAAGGCCTCACCCTCCCTGAGGAGCAGAAAGGGGATGAGATGGGGGCTTGGAGGGGGACAGGGAAGGAGGGGAGGATGAGGGAACTGGGATTGACATGTAAAACAAGCTTGTTTCAAATTAAAATAAAAAATATTATCATTAAAAAGAAAAAGATATGTTGTGTTATGTAGACCCTACTTTCAATCCCAGTTCTGCTACTGGTTGGCTGTGTGACTTACTTACTCTATGTAAATTCTGATTTTTCTCCTTGGTGAAGGTAAGAATATCAACTTTACATTAAAAAGTAGTATGTCTGACAATTGTAAATAAGTCCTTAACAAACAATTATGAATCATAACGGTTGTTATTTGAATGGCAATGTGATATCACTGTATATATGGCCAGGGCATGGTGAAAAATGACTAGAAGTAGTTATTAATCCACAACATATACTTACATAAAAGCATTTTAGAGAATAGAAATATCAGGGTATAAGGTTAGTATGGCTCATTTCACAGGATAAACATGTAGTGTAGGATGAGAGATGCATATCCAGACTGAGTGGAGCCACCGCTATACCCATCTAATCTACAAGACTTCCCTAGGAGCAGGCTCAATTTGTAAGATCAAGCCGGTCAGCCTGTGTCTGAGACTGTAACATTACGAGGAAGTACAAAGAAATAAGGGTATATTTTGTACTCTCAAGAACCCTACAATTTAGTTGAAACTGGAAATATTCTAAAAACACGAAGTCCTTAAAAGCCGATTGTAAGTGCAGTAAGTAACCAGGAAAAGAATGAAAGAATTGGGAGTCCTTGGCAAAATAAATAAATAAATAAAATAATGGTGGTGGGGTGGAATGGGGTGGCTGAAGGATGCCTGAAAAGAACGGAGTTGACGGCACTCCGGGAGGTGACCACACAGACTTTTCTGGTGGGAGGAACATTCCTACCAGGGGTAAAACCCGACAACTACTTTAGGTTTATTTCTTTCCTATCTATATTTTTCGCTCAGTCCTCCAAGCCGGCTGTGGGGGATGCAGCCGGCAGGTCCCAGCTCACTCTGTGCCTAGAGTCGTCCTCGGATGCCCCGACCTGGGAGAGCGGCAGCACCGATTACTAAAACACCAAGCTCACCCAACCGCACAACACCTCAGCCACTCCGGGATTTCCGGGCAGCGGACATTTGTCCCAAGGAGGGACCGGAAATCCCGCCTCCGCCGGAAGGAAGCCAGACAGCCAATCCCGAGGAAGGTAATTGCTCCGCTGGGGACAACCCAGAATCAGCGCGAGGCCGGAAGCAGCGTGTGGGGGGCGGGACGTGGTGCCGGAAGTGCTCGTCCCTCGGTTGTTTGTGTTTGCGGTGCGGCGGCGGAGATGCTCCGGGAGGCGGAGTGGGGTGAGCTGGAGCTGGAGGACGGCTAGAGCGGGACAGCGAGCGGGAGAGCGGCGCAGTGTGGACCGGGGCCGGCCGGGCGGCTTCCCGCAGTCACGCCATGAGCTACACCAGGCACTGGGGGGAGTGGTTCCTGAACCTGCGGGTGCCCCCCGCCGGCGTGTTCGGCGTGGCCTTCCTGGCCCGGGTCGCCCTGGTTTTCTACGGCGTCTTCCAGGACCGGACTCTGCTCGTGAGGTACACCGACATAGACTACCACGTGTTCACGGACGCCGCGCGTTTCGTCACGGAAGGGCGCTCCCCGTACCTGAGGGCAACTTACCGCTACACCCCGCTCCTGAGTTGGCTCCTCACTCCCAACGTCTACCTGAGCGAACTCTTCGGCAAGTTCCTCTTCATCAGCTGCGACCTCCTCACCGCCTTCCTCCTATACCGCCTGCTGCTGCTCAAGGGGCTGGGGCGCCGCCAGGCCTGTGGCTACTGCGTCTTCTGGCTGCTTAACCCCTTGCCCATGGCCGTGTCGAGCCGAGGCAACGCGGACTCCATCGTCGCCTCCCTGGTGCTTACGGCCCTGTACCTGATAGAGAAGCGGCTGATCGCGTGTGCCGCGGTGTTCTACGGCTTCGCGGTGCACATGAAGATGTATCCGGTGACCTACATCCTCCCGATCGCGCTCCGCCTGCGGCCCGAGCGCGAAGACGACGAGAGCCTCCGGCAAGCCCGGTACTGTTTCCAGGCCCGTCTCTACGATTTCCTGAAGCGGCTGTGTAGCTGGGCCGTGCTGCTCTTTGTAGCAGTTGCGGGACTCACGTTTTTTGCCCTGAGCTTCGGTTTTTACTCTAAATACGGCTGGGAGTTTTTGGAGCACACGTACTTCTATCACCTGACTAGGAGGGATATCCGCCACAACTTTTCTCCGTACTTCTATATGCTGTATTTGACCGCCGAGAGCAAGTGGAGTTTCACCCTGGGGATTGCCGCATTCCTGCCACAGTTCATCTTGCTTTCGGCCGTGTCTTTTGCCTACTACAGGGACCTTGTCTTCTGTTGTTTTCTCCATACATCCATTTTTGTGACTTTTAACAAAGTCTGCACCTCGCAGTACTTCCTTTGGTACCTCTGCCTTCTGCCTCTAGTGATGCCTCTAGTGAGGATGCCTTGGAAAAGAGCCATAGTACTCCTCATGTTGTGGTTTCTAGGGCAGGCCTTATGGCTGACTCCTGCGTACATTCTGGAGTTCCAAGGAAAGAACACCTTCCTGTTTATTTGGTTAGCTGGTTTGTTCTTTCTTCTGATCAACTGTTCCATACTGATTCAGATTATTTCCCATTACAAGGAGGACCGCCTAATAGAGAGAATCAAATATGACTGATGTGTGTTCTGGACTTCTATTCCTATCTGACTGTACGGAAGTTTTTCCTCCCTGAACATTCTAAGGACTCTGGTGAAAGTTCCCTTGTTCCAATAGAAATTAAAACCAGTGTTGGCCTTATATATAAAGGGACCCAGTAATCGAGGCCCATCCTTTACAAAGTCTTAGGACTCATTCATTTGATGAGAAAGTAAAGGTTTCTTGTTTGACAGTTGAAAAGCCGATGAAACTAGAAGATGCTAAAATGCTTTTTGTACAATAGAGAAATAGACCTAAGTTTCTTAGCAGGGTTTGTTCTCGTTACCCTGTGCCACCGTTGTACCTTCGGCCCTCACCTTTTCCTTCTGCAGTTCTGACAGCTGTGGAAATTTACAAAGTTCCCAAAGTACAACATGTTTACATATAAAATAGTACCATTACCGTGCTTAGTTCGGAAAGTTTAACATTCTTGTATTACATGTTGGGGCTTAGAGATAAACAGTCCAAAGAATTTGAATTGTGATCATGTATTTGTTTTGCAATTAATTTTTTCAGCCTTAATACAGTTGATACTCGTTTTATACAAAAAATTTAAACTCATCCATCTTTTAGAACTGAGTTTTTTTTTTAAAGAAATTGAACATTATATTTATATGCTTATTTTTTCTAATATCTAAAAAAGGTTTTCATCTAGAATTTAAGCTGAGTATTGTCTATTGTAAAAGTAGTAGAATTTAGGTGATAAAACCTAGTTTGCTCTATTCTGGTTTTGTCACTTAAATTGTTACATTGTTGATGAGGCATCTCCCAGCTTCAATCTTATACTCTGAAAATGCAGCAGTGGGAAGGAAGGAAGATTCCTGGGAAGTGTAAGTGCATGGCTAGTACTCACTGGTCTAGATGTGAGCAGATGTGGGGAATTGCAGAAATGAGGCTTTAGTGGGCAGAAGGTCTTTCTTACCACTGTGGGGGGAAATACTTGAACTGTTTGAATAGGCATCCTAAATATTTTTGGAAAAGCTAGAGCCCATCTAAGTTGAGGCTTCCTAACAGTCAAAGATCTAGCAATAGATGAGTATTATTTTATGATCATGATTTTAAAAACTAGTGGATTGTTTTTCCGGAGTCAAAAACAACAAATTCCTGAAAAGAAATATTGCTGCAGAAAAGGAAATTTTTGTTGTTGTTCTTAATGTCAAGGCAAGCCTAAAAAGCCTTAAAATAGTTATAGGCTGGTCACAATTAAAAGTTCTATTATTGGCAGCTTTTCTTTGCTGGATTCCTTTTGGGATTTGGTCTTAGAAAGAATAGGTGATTTTTTTTTTTTTTTTTTTTTTTTTTTTGTGGCTGTCTAAGAAAAGCAGTTGTAGAAAACAGTGACCTTTCCTAAAATGTCACGTTCCATGTTCCTCACTAGCTTGTAACTTAACAGCTCATTATTTAAGATAATTTAAGTAGTGGCTTTCCAATTACCACACATTATACTTTTAAAATTATTATTGTAGGCATTGAAACCTGGGCCTCAAGTATTCTGGGCACATACTCTGCCACTGAGCTATGTATGCATCCAACTCCAAGTGAATTTTTATAGTGAAAATTTGAGGAAGGAAAGGATACCTCTTGAGTTTGTATAGGCCTGACTTCTTTTGTTGTTAGACGAGTCAGTCCAAGCTGGCCTCAGATTTACTTCATAGTTCAAGATAACTTGGAACTCCTGATCCTCATTCCTCTACCTCCCAAGAGCTGAGATCATAGTCCTGTGTTACTGTGTCAAAGAAATGCAAGTGTTTCTTAAGAGATGCAGAAAATATTTTTCAGTTTATCTGCTGCAAAACATTATTTTTATTACTTGTTTTATGTACATGGTGTTTTGCATGTATGTCTTTGCACCATGTGCATTCCTAGTGCCCATAGTGCCCAGAAGTGGGCATTGAATTTCCTAGAACTAGAATTACAGATGATGATGAGCTACCATGAGGGTGCTGGGAATCAAACCTGAGTGAAGAGCAGCCAGTGCTCTTAACTACTGAGCCAACTGTCTAGCTCTCTGTTGCAAAACATTTTAAGTGGAGAAATGACTTGATTTGATCTCTTGGATTTTACTTTTGCTTTGCAGCTTTTAAAATTTTATTTTGGGGAGAGGCACAGGTATAATGTCCTGTGTGTGGAGGTCAGACGCACCTGTGACATCAGAGGAAAACTTGTGCTAGTCAACTTTCCTCTTTCCACTGTGCTGGCCCTGGGGATCAAACTCGGGTTGTCAGGCTTGGCAGCAGGTAACTCTTCATACTGTCTGATGGCTTTGGTTTCTTTTCGTTGGTAATACCTGTTGTTTCCCATTAGTCCTCGAGTAATACCTTAAAATTGTGTGGCTCTTTGGCTTATTTTCTGCATGATTCTCTTGTTCTTACACCACCTGCACTATCTTTATATCACTATAGTAAATGCCTCCTGTCAATCAACTTGTAGAGAAAAGGTTTATTTGGGGATATGGATTTAGAAGTTTCAGTTTGAGATTGGTTGGCCCTGTTTCTTCAGGCTTGTAATGAGGAAGAATATTGTGACAAGGAGCACACATTAACACAAATTATTCACCTCATTGCCTGTGCAGAGAATAGGAAGAGACAAGGGTTTTTCGGTTCCCTTTAAGGGCCCACCCCTGATGCCTTAAAGTCTCCCACTGGGCATGACCAAAAGTTTCCACGGCTTCCCAATAGTGCCACAGGCTTATTAACACATGGGCTTCTGTGAGGAGTGTTCAGATTCATGCTTCAGCATCACCGTGTAAGACTGATTAATAGACAAGCATTAGTTACTAGATTAACAAGAATGTTTCTCCAGATAGGTTGTGTTCTAAACAGAGCACTGTGTTTTCTTCTCTGTTTTTTTGGTGTCTCCAAAATGTCTGTAAATGCCTCAAGTTAAATTCCCTGGATTAGAGACATTATTGCCTCTTTTTTTTTTTTTTTTTTTTTTTTTTTTTTGTTGTTGTTGTTGTTGTTTGTTGCTGTAGGAGATAGGATCTTGTGTAGCCCAGAATGGCCTCAAAGTTGCTATGTAACAGGGGCTTGAACTTGAACTCATTAACCTTTTGACTCTACCTCCCAAGTACTGGGACTAGCAGGTGTGCTGGTTGTTTGGATTAATTTCTTTGGGAAAGCTGTGATAATCATCTATTACTGGCCAGCTCAGCAAAAAGATTCTTAAAACTGTAGATCACAGTTACTGACTTCTCACCATCCAGATTTCATACATGATGTACTGATGTTTCTTAAGTTGTATAAAACTCGTCCTTTAGTTAATTTATGGCTGAATATATATATTTAACATCAGGTGTTATATTACTGACTCTTGCCATCTGTGGTGTGAGAAAAAAATATGAAAAATATTACTTGTGGTCTTTAAATGAAATCTCTTGTCATTCCCCTCATGTTTTTTATTTCTGTGTGTGTGTGTGTGTGTGTGTGTATGCATGCGTGCGTGCAAGTGTGCATCAGCCTTGGGTATCATTCCTCAAGCACCACCCACTTTAGTGTATTTTTATTTTTTAGAGCTGGCCACATTGGCTAGGTTGACAGCAAGCCCTAAGATCAGCCTGTCCCTGTTTTGACAGCACTGGAATTCTAAATAAATGTCACCAAACCTGGCCTCCCCCCCCCCCCAAACATTAGCCATATAACCATTACTGTTCTTTGTCAAAAACCAACCCTATCCCAGCCACAGGGTTTCTCTGTTGTCCTGGCTATCCTGGAACTCACTCTAGACCAGGCTTGCCTCAAATTCAGAGATCTGCCTGCCTCTGTTTGGCTTGCATCACCACTGCCTGATTAGAAAACAAAATTTAACATCCTTGTGTTTTATGGGAAACTTCAGAAATGAAGGAGATACATCTTGGGAATCTTAATATCCATTATTTCCACACACAGTGACAATAGTTGCTGAATTGGTTTCTGTGTCATAATGATGGTTTTTCATGGTTAATCAATTTAGGGTGTTACTCTGCCACAGCTTAATTTTTATAACAACATTCAGATTTGGTGTTTGTATTAGATGTACTTGTTTTATAGATGAGCAAAGTGTTTTAAAGAAGAAATGACTTGGTAGTGAATGACAGAACTGGACTTTTAAGTGAATTCTTCCGACTGGAATAACATGCCCTTTTCACTGCTTCAGATGTTTTCAGAGTGCACAGACCCAGTGGATGATTTCTGCAGAATAAATGGGACTCAATTGTAGCAGATGTCTTGCCTTTCTGCCTTTGTCTCTGTCTCTCTGTCAGTCTATCTCTCTGTGTGTAACTGTTTTATGTGTGTGAGTGTTTTGCAAACATGTATATATACCCTGTGTGTGCTTGGTATTCCTCAGAGTCCAGAAGATGTTGGATCCTCTGGAAGTGGAGTTACAAATGGTTGTAAGGTGATGGGAAATGAACCTATATCCTATGGGAAAATAGCAAGTGCTCTTAACCACCAGGCCACCTGTAGCCCATTTCTGTTCTGTTCTCCCTCTCCCTTCATTTGAGAAACCACCATACTGACTCTCCTAGTAGCTGCGCCAATTTACTCCCTTTAGCAGCTTACATCCTCACCTGGGTTGATTTCCTTTAGTCATTCTGACTAGAGTAAGGACAAGTCACATTGTACACTGCAATGTGAATGTGCATAGTTAAAAGAATGAGCATTCACAGAGTTAGAAAAGTATCCTAGGCTGACTAATAAGAGAGCCTGGGTCATGCAGCTCAGGTTGAGACCTGGAACACAGTATCTTCACATCTAGATACATTGTTTTCCATCTCTAAAATGGGGATGAAAATATAATCTAGAGACTGCTTGTTAAGAGTTTCAAATTAAGCTGGGCAGAGTGGTGCACTTGGAAATCCCAGCACTTGGAAGGCTGGCAGATCTCTGTGAGTTCGAGGCCAGCCTGCTCTAGATTGCTCCAGGACAGCCAGAGCTACATAGTGAGGCCCTCTCTTGACAAAAGAGTTAAATTAATAAATTAATATACCCAATGTCTTTATGCTGGCACAGAACAAGCAACTAAATATTGAAGGCAAATATGTAAAGAAGGAAAACACTAAAAAATACTCAGGTCTTCCAGTCAGTAAAAAGAACTGAACAGTAGTTCTTGAAAGAAGCAACCTGACAATAAACACTTAAAGGGAAATGGAAGTTTGTCCTCAACTCCAGTCAGGCTGAAGTTGAGAAAATAAACCCAGGTGAGGATGTAAGCTGCTAATGAGAGTAAACCTGTGCAGTTACTGTGTAAATCAGGTGGTTTCTCAAAAACAAAACAAAAAACCCCAAACAAACAACAAAAAACGGCTACCATGTGGACCAGTCCAGAGTTGAATTTAAGTATCACAGAGTATCACTTGTTCATTTATGTTTATTGCTTCACAATGTACAGTTCTATAAGAAGTATGACAAGTGAATAAAAAAAATGTGATACATACACCTGAGTTTTATTTAGCAGTAAAATAGTCATGACATTAGCAAGGAAAATGAATTGAGATTA